TGTAGAAAGATGTTCCACCATCAGCTGAATGTATCTCCACCAGCTGGCTCCTCTGTTCTCTGGTTCTGATCCAGGAGGTTGGATTCTCCTCTCATTTTCCTGATTCGTGACCAGTTATTCATTCAAGCGCTGTCGGAGCTGAAAACCCAACCGTTCCTCCTGTCGTTTCAAAGACTTATTTCAGATCAAAGCTCCTTTAAAAATGTACGTCAGTAAATGTTGCAGATGGGTGGCGTTGCCGTCCTGGTTCTGTGGTTCTGTCCAGCTCAGGTCTCTGTTTGCACTCTGATCAGTAACGCTGCTTCCTGTCCACAGCTGTGCAGAGCGACACTACGACACGTCAAAGTTCAACTGTCGAGGTGAGTCTGGTGGAAGCGTGGCCGCTGCATGAGTCGGTCCCGGTGTGTGGAGGCGTCTCTCAGTCTCTCGTTGTGTCCCCCAGTGGCCCAGTATCCGTTCGAGGACCACAACCCTCCCCAGCTGGAGCTCATCAAGCCGTTCTGCGAGGACCTGGACCAGTGGCTCAGCGAGGACGAGCAGCACGTCGCCGCCATCCACTGCAAGGCCGGGAAGGGTCGCACCGGCGTCATGATCTGCGCCTACCTGCTGCACCGCGGGAAGTTCCAGGAGGCTCAGGAGGCGCTCGACTTCTACGGAGAGGTCCGCACCCGCGACAAGAAGGTAACCGTGGAATCAGAACCGAGCCGGAACCGGACACTGCCAGGTAGACGCTTAGGGCGTCAGGAAGGGAATAGTTACCAGAGACAAAAAAAATAAAACTTCCAGAAAGAGACGAAAAACTAACGAGATGAAAAACGACCTAAAGTTACCAGAACAGACAGAAATCTGACCTCACCAGACAAATAAAAACAAACAAATCAGTCACAACAAGACACAAGCAGACCCAGAACGTAGCGAGCAGCTGAGGAACATCCACAGCAGACCGAAGGTTGAGCCGCATGGCACAGGTCCACAGGAAATTAACACCAGAACGTCAGCCTCTGGGTAACGTTCTGCTGGTTCTGTGTCCAGGGCGTCACCATCCCCAGCCAGCGGCGCTACGTCGTCTACTACAGCTTCCTGCTCAGGAACCAGCTGCAGTACAAACCCGTCGCCCTGCTGTTCCACAAGATGCTCTTCGAGACCATCCCCATGTTCACCGGAGGAACCTGCAGTGAGTCTTTGTGTTCACGT